TCTGCCCTGGGGGGTCCCCACCACTTGGTATGCTCACATGGAGGGGAGGGTCTCCCATCACATTGCACCTTTCACTGGGGGCCCTTGCTGCTTGGCACCCTCACACACGGGGCTCCCCACTGCTTGGCATCTGGATGGTAGAGGAAAGATGCTGGGGGGGTCCCTCCAGGGAGGTCTCTCCCCTCCCACCACTTTGCTCCTTTGCATCAGGGCAGAAGTCCCCTTTGCTTCACCCTTTTGCATCAAAAGGGAACCCCCCCCTCCTCCCACGCACCCTTTGTAGCCCTTCATAGGGGGGTGCCTCCCACCAGCTTTACAACAGGCCCCCCTTCAGCACTTGGCCTCCTCACATGCAGGGGTCTGCACTGCTTGGCATCTTGCTTGTAGGTGGGGGCATTTCCCACCCCTGTCAAGCTCTGCAGAGCCCTCCATCCCCCCTCCCCAACTTGGCATCCTTGCAGAGAGGGGTCCCCTGTGCTGGGCATTTTGCTTGCAGAGCTGTCTCCCTCCACTTGCACCTTTGCCTCGGGGGGACCCTCACTCCTTGGCAACCCCATACAGGGGAGCCCCTACTGCCTGACAGCTTTGGGGTGGGGGTGTGCCATCGCTGCTCTTTGCAGGGAAAGTCCCCACCATTTGTGCTCCTGCATGAGGGGGGAGGATGTGTCTCCAACCACTTTGTACCTTTGCGTTGGGGGGGGAGGGTCTTTGCTGCTCACCATCCTCGTGTATGCAGCATCACCCATCTGCCCCGAACCCCCCACCCCAGGGCACCCCCCAGGCCAGCCGCACACCAGGTGTGGAAGCCAGCCCCATGCAACGTGATTCAGCTACTTGCCGGAGCTTTAATTCCATCGCTTAAAAGCCTCCCAAGCTCTGCCTGCCTTGTGGTTGTGTCAGCACCGTAAAATTCCTGCAGATTCAGAGCCAGGAGCAGTGCAGTTCAGCGTAGTTTGTGTCTGTGATGCGTGCGGCTGCCTTGCATCTGGCGTCTCCACTTGCCACTCCTCGCCTGGACACAAGCCCTAGATGGAGGAGCAGGATTAATAACTCATCTCCCAAACTTTGGTGTGCCAAGGCACAGTCCCCGTGTGCTCACTCGTTGCTAGTGGCTTCCTTCAGACTGAAGTTGAGGTGTTGGGGCAGTATCTCTGGATCTTCTTGGCCTGCAGATCCAGACCAGCAACTGCATGCTTAAGGCAGGTGGAAGAGGGCATGGGTCCAGCAAAGCCCTACGCAGCAGCTGGAAGGTTAACACATTCAGTGCTTTTCTACCAAAAACCCAGGACACATGGAGATGGGTTCACCTATAGCTTGTGGAAAGGCTTAGTCTCCCCACAGCTGCTTCTTCCTCAAGGAACTGAGGAAAAGGAAGCTCGAGCTGGAACACATTTTACTTGGAGCCATCGCCTGCCTTGGCCCAGTTCTGAGCTCGAGATGCTCAGCCTCCATTTTAGAGGAGCTGACACATAAGCAGGGCACACCAAGATCCCAGTAAGTTACAAACAGCCTCACAGCCCCCCAGAAAGTGAGGAGTTTATTTTACCTGCTTCTCTAGATGAGGACACAGCTGAAAGCTTGACCCTCTGAGGTGCCTCCTCACAAGCTGTGACACCATGCAGGGGGCAGCTGGCTCAGGAGATGTCACTGACAGGT